GAGCCCTATATTACTTGAGTGATACGTATACTTGTGTTGACAAATTCGACTTTAACATTATTGAATATTATACTTATACAACTTAATCAAATCAGACACATCTATACTTTGGACACTGTTGTTGGAGACACTGTTGTTGGAAAATTAAATCTTCTAATAGCGTCATCAAATTCTTGTATTTGTCGATTACAAAAAGAAATCGGTCACAAACCGAGCCCTCAAGAAGGATAAAACAGAGCCAAAACCGAGCCCTTCAAGTGGACCAAAAACAGAAAATATTTCCATCCATAATTTGATTCCAAAAGAGCTCAAACCAGACCCGACATATGGGCAAACCGAGCCCACAAGAAAGACAAAACAGGGCCAAAATCGAGCCCTTCAAGTGGGCCAAAAACAGAAAATATTTTTCCTTGGAGCTTTATATTCCAAAATATTGTGCCAACATATGTTTCGAATGGGGTCAAATAACAGGAAACATATAAATATGCATGCATCTTTATGGCCAACATGTCATCAAGCTTTGAAATGAATTCCAGCATTTAATTGAATAAAGAAAACAATAATAGAGAGCCTTAGAATCAAAACCCAAACCAACATTTCATATATTTCAAATAGGCAACTATCATTTTATGGCAACCACAGGAATGTTCCAAAATTTCCTTTATCATGCATTTCGAATCAGAAAGCAAGAGAAAGCAGCCATATTACCATTCATCTTATTGATTCAAGGAGCTTTCCAGGATTATATCTCAAAGGCAGACATAAACTTTTACTTCCACATGTTTTAAAAGAGAAAGGAAATATTTTCAGGTGCACTAGAAAATATATGTGAGGGTAAGCATAAAAATCTAAAAGAATTGCACAACATGTTTGTAAATATTAGAGCTTTAGTATGAGGTATATAAGTATATAAGAATCAGGTGGTAAGCATGTAAAGGTCCCATTATATTCACACCTATACTTCAGCTTTTACATTTATGTCACACAAAGTTTCAGATTTTGCAAACAAGTCACCTGACAATTTCAGATTTTTTCAAATTGAACACTAACGGTCTCAAAATTTTACAAGTTAACCACCGAAAGTTTCAGATTTTGCAAATCGGACATCAAAGGTGCAAGTATTGAACATCACCCGAAGAGTGTTTTAAATCCCACTTCCAAAACAGCGATAACATCCAGCAACCGGACAAGAAAGATTAAATGATGACTTGCACGCATAACCATTCATTCCCATGAGTTTAAATTCAATTTTAGATAATATAAAGATAAGCTCCAA